ACAATTTCCGTCATCTTTGACCTTGTATGCCAGAAGGCTCAGGGCTGCAATTGCAAAGTCTGACGTTCTTGTCTTTTGCAATATTGATGCTAAGCCAAGGGGAGGCATCAGCATCCAAAACGTGAAGTGATTCCCAAGCTTGGTTCCATGTGTCCTCTGGGACCGGCAGTGCAAGTATCTGTCTAATCCTGACTTCCTGAAGGGTGGAAGTAGAATGTGCATTTAGGTGCCTCACTACTAGCTGGTAAGTTGGATAGGGAAAACGGATGATTGTTTCTTGATTCTGTGAAGTTCAGTGTGCAAGACAGTAGTCTACAATCTATGCAGAACTACTTCAGCCAAAAGGGTGTCAAAAGAGGCTCCCCTAGGTACGTTGGCAGCAAAAAGAAGAATAATGGAAAATATAATCCTACTTCTCAATGGGCAGTGGTTCTAGTGATACCGGATATGGAAAATGCTTTCTTTGCCTCTGTCTTTACTGTAAGATTTGCTATCAGGCCTACCATGTCCCTGAGCCTAGTGGCAGGGTCTGCAGGAGTGAGCTATTAACTCTGGTAGAAGACAACTGAATCAGAGACCACTCAAGCCAATTAGTTGTGCCCAAGTCCATGAGACCAGATGACATGCATGTAAGGGTGACGGTGAGGCTGTTCTCCGTAATCTTTGAAAGGTCATGGCAACTAGGAGGAGGTTCCTGATAACTGGAAAAAGGCAAATGTCATGTGACACCCATTTTCAAAGACAAGAAGATGCTCCAGGGAACTACATGAGACTGGCCAGCCTGATCTCTGTCCTTGGCAAGGTTATAGAAGTCATGTCTTCCTAAGCATGTTAAGGATAGTGTGATTTAGAATGGTCACTATGGATTTTCCAAGGTTAAATCATACTTGACCAACTGGATTGCCTCCTTTGACATGACTGATTCTGTGGTCAAGGGGAGAGCAGTGAATGTTTACCCTGACTTTAACAAGGCTCTTTATATGGTTTCCAGTAGTATTTTTGTAGCCAAATTGGGGAGAGATGGTTTGGATAGGTGGACTACAAAGTGGGTGGAAAACTAGCTGAACTGCTGACCATCTGCATCAGTGGTAAAAAGTCCATGGGAGTATAAACCTAATAGGGTTGTCATTGTTCACCATTTTCATTAATGAACTGGACAACGGGATGTAACGTACCCGGCAGATACATTAGCAGGTTTGCATCGAGAAATGGGCTCCTCAGGAACCTCATGAAGTTCAAGGAAGGCAAGTGTGAAGTCCTGCACCTGGGATAGAACTCCTGCAGCAGTGCAGGCTGGGTATCGACTGGCTAGAAAGCAGCTTTCTAGAAAAGGAGGTGGGGGTGCTAATTAAGAAGTTGCCCACGAGTCAGTAGTGTGACCTTGCAGTAGTAAAAAGCCCACTGCATACTGGAAATAACAGTTGTGGTTAAGCACTGGAACAGGTTGCCTAGAGATATTGTGGAGTATGCATCCTTAGAGACATTCAAAACCTGACTGGACAAGATTCTGAGCAACCTGATCTGTCTTTGATGTTGGTTCTAACTTGAAGCTGACCCTGCTTTGAATGATGTGTGGGACCTCCAGAGGTCCCTTCCAATCTTAATTATTCCACTGTACAATGTTTCTCTGACTAGCCTGCATTAACCTGACAGTTGTTCTACAAATTCAAGAAAGGAAAGGACTGAACTCCTAGTAGGTATGGAGCTGCGCGATCCTCTCAGAGATGATGGTGAGTGGTGTGCATGCATGTGTATGTCAAGGGGGGAGGGAGGGAAAGCTCCTCCTGCCTGCCAAAGGCAGCTCACTGTCACACGGGGTGCATCCCCATAACATCTGCTTCCTCTCACGCACTTCCAACAGGTGACACTAGAAATATTCACAAGAGCTGGTCTCTAAGGGTGGGATGAGGCCATGGTCCCAGAGGATGGCCTTTACAGTGCATACTTACCTTTGATTTTAAACAGCAATGCCTGTATAGAAACTGGGCTCTCATCAGCTTCAGGACCTGATAAGAAGCCCCCTGCCCTAACCTTCTAGGGTTCAAAGCCCAGAAGATGCCCCATATTGATCTTTCGGCAAAAATTTTGGTCCAGTTCATTATGTTGGTTTGAGTGTATTTGGATATATCCAGACCAAAGGAGGGCTTTAGCTGTCTCCCAGCCACAAATTGCCCATGTTCCCCAAGATACTGTCTGATTTATTTTTCTCCAAGTGTAGACAAGAGAAAAGCTAAAGGACCAATACTGGAATGGCTAGGCATCAAAACCCGTGAGACCTGGGCCACCAACAGTGTGTTAGGCGGTGTGAGGACATTTCAGGGCTGGTGAGGGCACAGCACCTTCTGGGTAAAACGTCAGAGAACTGTCTCAAGTTGGAAGAGGGGAACTGCAGGCTGTAATCCTTCCTCTTGAGTCACAGGCAGCTGAACAATTGGACTGCGGGTTCCAATCTCTTTGTACCTTTACATTGTGTTTACACCACCTTCAGGCTTGTGCCATGGAGTGAATTGCTATGTTGTTGGCACACTGAAAGCCTGAGGATTACTATTCTGCTCTAGCTTGGACACAGTGGAGTGAAATTCTTACATATCGTGTGGATATTTCAAGGACTAGCAGTCTGGAATGAAACATAGATTGTACCACATAGAGTAGGTGCACCTAGCATTAGGCTCCACTTTTTCATGTCCTTAATCTTGCTATAGCGTTTATCAGTAAGACGGTGACCGCAACAACCCTCAAAGCAGGAGGTATCATGGGAATGCTCTTTACCTCACTGACTGTCAAGAAAAGCTAATGGCACATTAAAAAGCAGCCATAGATATTATTACAAAAAATACACTATATATTAGGGTGATACAACAAGGTATTCAAAATTCAGGAATTACTGGAAATAAGGATTTCTACACATCAGTCTGGTTTGAATGAACTCATAAACTCATACTGTTGTTTTTTTCTCCCAATCCTTTTTTTTTTTTTGTGTGTAGGATGGCTGACGTTCAGTAAATGAGCAGATATTTTATTTTTTCTCCATTGTAAAACATAGGGCCCTAATGCTGTTATTTATTGATGGATTTCTAAACTGCTATAAATGTGGACTTCCCAGTATCCCACAGGTTTCCATGTAGCAGTTGTCCTTAGTGTAAATAAACAATCATATTTGCATCTGCAGCATTCCAGTGAGTTGCTGTGGTTGTATTATTTTCTTTGTATTGAGGTGGTAGTAAAAAAGATCTGAATGCTGAAAAGACAGTTCTTTTTGAATTCAGTCGCAAATTAGGCTTCAAGCATCTCAGGTAGCCTACCTAGAAAATGCAGCCTGTATGGTGTGAACATCTGTGATATTTCATTTTAACGATCTGCCCAACATCATGTGGCAGATAGCACAGTGCAGTCCAGTTCCCCAGGAATGTATTTGCCTGTCTTCAACACAGGACTGCAGGTTCAAGCACAGAGGAAGTTGGAGTGCTTCTACTCTATGAATACAATACGTTGCCCCATTGAGTTTTTTTTCATCCAGCAAGTTTGATATCAGTGTTCTACCATGAGAAATAGGAAGGACAAAGGTTTTTGTAGTACCCCCTGTCAGATGTTTGAAAGTTCTTAAGTGACTGTGTCCCATCTTTGCAGATTCTACCTCAGCTTATCCACGAAACTGGTTTTGACCAAAAGCATCAAAATTCTGAAGAATGAAAGACTGTGGCAGTGGAGAAGGGCATCATCCAACACCTGGTGGAGGTCTGTGTGAGACAAATGTGAAAACAAGCATCTCAGGCCTTCCTGGACTAATCCTGAGGGATGCTAAAACCTTGAGGTAAACTCCTTTTCTTTTGGGGATGTCATGTTCTTACTGTAAAAGGGAATTGAGGAAGAAGAGAGAAATAATATTTCTTTGGAGTGGGAAGCTTGTTCACCACTGAACACCTGTAGCTTTGTAGTGGGTACTTATGCTTTGAGTTTGCTGGCAAAATCTATTGCTTAGTACATATAAGAAGTGGCAAAATAAAATAAGCAGGTCATGGGGCATGCAAGACAGGTAGGAAGCGCTAGGATGGCTGCTGATTACCACAGAAGTAATTCCAAGCAGTTAGGATGGCAGTGCTCTATAACTGAAAGAATTGTAAGCAGTTTTGACAAATTGTAAGCAGTTATGTAAGTTAGGCCTATACAGGTATAGGCATTGGCTTGCTCTAGTTACAACATACAAATAATCAAGAAAGATCCATTGCCAGAGACTGCCAGACCTGCCAGAACCTACTTTCCAGAAACTGCTTGTTTTGGCACTGTGCCTGCCAGAAGTGTGTGTCAAGCATTTCTGTCCAGGTGCTTCTTTGAACTTACATTTGCAGAAAGCAACTGGACAAAAGCTTAATTGGCTGCAATGCAGGAACTTTTTTTAGCAGGCTTATGGATATGGTCTGTTTAGTTTCCACCATACCAAATCCAAATGGACCAGAAAAGTCCATTACGGGAAGCACATCCAGGTGACAACCTCATTTGGATTTGTAACATGAAGTTGTAAGGTAGGTGCTATAGCTGAGACCTTGATCTAAGAACAGGAGGTATGTGGAATATCCTGACACAGGTAAAGGGATCATTAGTAATCAGAGAAGATCCTGCTTAAGCTTTGTGAATAAGCAGATATATAATCCAGAGCTGAGACATGGCTGATGCACAGCAATGCGCTTCTGGTAATAGCGAAGCCCACGGAAAGTCAGCATGAATTGTGGTATTCAGCAGCATGAGAGGGTGTGGCTAGATAGGGGATTGCCCCACCTTGCGGTGGGGTGGAACAGTAGGTTCATCTGAATAACGCAGACCAACAGACCAAACAGCTTGAATAAGCCATGAGTGGGGTGTATTTCTGGGGCTCCAGGAAAAGTTTTCTTCTGGTGACAGGGGTAAGCCGCATTTCACTATCATTTTTCCTCTCTGAGAGAAATTAGAGCAAAGCAGTTTAACAGAAAAACAATGGGTTTTTAAGAACTGATTGTTCTGTGGTACATGTTAGTATCTGGCAAGTTAGTTTACACAAAGGTCCGTTGTGCAGATGTTCAGGAGATGTTAGTGAGGATGCCAGTAGTCTGCCTGGTAAACAATTGACATGTAGAGCTAGGTGAGTAACTAATCATCAACTGTAAAACTATATGTGCATGTGAATAAACCTAGCTTATTATAGAGTGGGTGTGAATCATAAAGCAGAATCCAAGCTGAGGTCTGTAAGCCTCAGAGTTCTCCATGTGGTTGGTATGTAATGAGTGTCTCACTGTGGTGTTGCTATCTGTGAGACATCCATACCGGTGTCCGTATCAATAAAAATTGTAAGCTTGTAATGGGCTTAGAGGTATCTTCCTTGCATTCTATTTATATTCTAACATTTCCTGGTAACAAAATGAGGGGTGCTCAGGGAAATCAAAAAGGTGATTATAAGAAAAGACATAGTAAGCTCCTGTAGTGAGACTACGGTGAGCCTTTTGATTTTTGCAGTAAACGAGCAGTTTATTTTACAGTGTGAGCCTGATTTATCACCCTTTGCCTGATCTATCCTGGGAAAACAGTGACATGCGCTCATGCAATTCAAAACATCAGTACAAAATTACAATGCAGTAGGGCAGAATTAAAGTTCCACACGCATTTCTTAACTTTTTGTGTTTTATTCCATCCACACATTCTTTTAACGTAACTTTGGCACATCTGATTTGCTAGTGTTTTATAAAAATAAACATCTGCAGTGGACATGCCTGTAAGACCTTCATATCGAGGGCTCACTGATCCACACATAATGGTCGACCCAGACAATATGGTAGTCTGCTGCGGTACAGACTGCTTGCCTGCTGAATAACCTTGGCAGCTGAAGCACATACACGACTGTGTGTGGTGGTGAAACAAGATGAGAACCACTTCATGTTTAAACAAACGATTTATTGAGCCACTGCACTCTAACAAGATCGGGTGTCAGTATAGGAATTTTTGCTATTCTCAAAGGGAATTAACAGACAAAACAAGGCAATATAGGAAAACAGTAGGTGATATAAGAAACAATTCGCCAACAATACAACTTATTTACAGAGAAGTGCACAATTCAACCTACTTACACAGAGACTGGTGTTCATTCACATTCCTATGAGCTCAAGTTATTACCACCTGTTGTGTCTATTACTGGGTAACCGAGGGAAAAGGAATGTGCAGATATCCTGTATTGAATCCCGTATTGGAGAAAAAAGGAATACGTACCTATCCTGTAGCGAGCCCCTCTCCTTTGTGTGGTACCACTCACTCACCCAGTCCCATCGAGCCGTCTCAATACTGCTTCAGGCCTGTCGATCTTTGGGCGGCGTCCCGGTCCGAAGGGAGTTCCTCTCGCCCACAGAACCAGCTGTTTCAGAAGGGGCGGTCTCCGCCAAGAAATGAACACTTTTGATCCCGTTCATATACCGGTGATCAAGTTGTGGGTGGGGTCATACCTCACCACATGTCTGTTCCAGCATAACGGAGATGGTTCTGGCAGGTCCCTGAAGGTTCCATACCTGACCTATGTGATTGACATTGCCCATGTGGTGGGTGGTGGCTAGTTGCCTCCTCCAATCATCTCCTGGTTGCTAGGCCGCACACCTTAAGCCACCAGGTCTACCTTCAGAAGGTCAACTAGAGGTTAACCGAAAGGCTATCAGGTCTGCCCATTATTGCCTATGGGGGGAGTATACCACCACACTGTGATATGTATCTGTTGTCAAACAGTACCCACTAGAGTAATTGCTCTTGGCACATGAAGCTCCTGAGTTGTCCTTTGAATGTTGCTTATCGAATACCTCACCCACATACAGCATTCCTAGCCTGTCACAGTTTATGGGAATGTTTACTGGTAGAAGAAAATTTATAAGTAATCTAACTACTTATAGTTAGAGGGCTGCTGAGCCTCATCATGGAGGGCATCTGTGCAGCATGCCATGCTCCAGTCAGAGGTCTGTCCAATGCTGTATCATCTTGGGGTTCCCAGCATCTGAAAGGACATAAGCTGAATTTGAACTCTCTCTTTTCTGTTAGCCTCTTAGAAAATGTATTTCGTGACCTCCTGTGGAGTGCTCATGCCTTATCGGGATCTCTTATTGGGATCCTACATGCACAGCAGCTGCTGGTCCTCTACTGCATCAGCTAAAAAGCCAGAACTTCAAGAGCTACTGAAGAAACTACCGCTGTTTCAGCCCACAGAGTGACTGAGGGAAAACAGGAACACCTTCCAAACAGATCTTCTGTTTTGATCTGCAGAAAGAGGAAGACCACACTCTGCTAGGGAATTTTGCAGAGTTTTCTGGCAGCAGAGAAATGGTGAAACTTGGAAATGCTGGTTTGTATTCAGGGTCTGAAGAGGAGAGTAGTAGGTTCAAATCTTTCTAACAGCCTCTTCCATGCATGCACTTCTGTAAGGAACTGATTCATGGCCTTGGCATAAGTACATACATTTTGTCTCCTGCCATAAGAAAACCCATACTTACTTCTTCCCATCTACTCAAAAGTGATGTGCAAGCAGGTCAATAGAATGGAAGTCCTTGTAACAGCGAGATAACAACTCTGACATGCTTATCCCCAACGCTGTGATTTCCTTTGGCCAGATATGAACACACATGCTATAATTTTAGTGACTGTTTACTTCACACAAATGTCATGACACATTGTAAATCACACCCACTGTATTGCCATGTGTCCAGACATGCTGTGACCGCAATCCTTGAGAACCTTGAACGGAGCTAGTCATCAAGAACAACATGCACAGGAAAGCATGCTTTACAAAGTGCTGGGCTTGGGAACTTGGAAGAGTTTTATCACCAAATTTGGAGCTGACTGTACCTTCTTTCCCAGGTGTTTCCCGTACCTTTTTTCTTAGTGTTACCTTATTAGCTGAAGCACAATTTTCTAGCATTTTGTTCTTTAAAATGACTGAGCTATTTCTGAAGAAACTTTAAAACTATCCTGAAGCTAAGTTCCTGCTATATGGCATTTCAGGTGGCAAAACTAGTTTGGTAGTCAAGACATATTTTAAACTTTCAATCCAAAGCTATGACATTTGTCATGGAAACACGAAGATCCATGTGGTCCTCTGCAAACACATCAGCCCCAGTGCTAAGGCTTTGTGAGGAAGACACCTTCTCATCGTTAATGCTGGGATGATGGAAACTGTTGTCTACCGAAGTTCAAATGAGTGTGGACTTTGCAGTCTTCAATATTAAAGGTAAAATTCATCCCAGTATTTAAATTTAATGAGCAGTAGGGGAAAAAAAAAGATTCCTCCCTTTATAGATGCATCATGGCATAAAGTGAAAGATCCTCATACACTGTAAGGGCAGACTTTGCAAAGGTATCTGTTTTCTATAATGTTGCTTTCTACAGCTACAAGCGTATACGCATTTTACAGTACTGTTTAGTTCATATTGCTATTTAGATTTCTCCATGCAGTGCTAACCGATGAGAATTGTGTGTTTGATCTTAGAACACTGGCTTATGTTATTCGTAAACGGATTTCTGTCTTAAAACAACTGAGGTACATATCATTTCTTGCTTCTGTTTCAGGTTTATGTTGCTATGATGGTAATAATTCAAGAGTGGGACACAAATCCGTATTCTGAGAGGATGTTAGGACTGTAAAATGGAGCCTACAACCTCGTGCCCCTCAGACCCTGCCACATCCTCTGGGGACTATTACAAAGTCTAGTTATGATAGCATACTCCTTAAAAATAAAATTAAAAAATAAAATCCCTTGCCCAAGACTTACTCAATAGGGTACAGGTTAAAGACAGGAATTACATTCTTTGCAACAAAATAATACCCCAGTAAGTCACCATAAAAGATGATCTTCAGACTGAAATGTGGATATAGCTAATAGGGAGTAAAAATATGCTCTGTATGTGAATTGGCTGCTCTGTATGTGAATTGGCTCACAGTGCCTTTTCCTCACATCCCTGTTACACATCTTTCTTAAATAAATTAACCTGCCAGTGTCCTCTCTCCCAGTAACTTTGGACTCTGTTGGCCAGTATCAAGCAAATACTGTAGAAGAATACATTGATGGCTAGTTCGAGATGAAGAAGCCAATGAGTCCCTTTTTCTTCCCACACTGAGGTAAAGGCTAGGAGACCTCCACTCTCAGGTTAGCCCACATGCTGATGTATGTGCATTCCCAGCTAGACACAAGCGTTGCTGATGTGTACCCCACCAGGAGACAACGTGGGATGGATGTTAGGGTGCCATATTAGGGCTGTGCAAAATACAGATCTGAACAGGGGGTGTTGTAGAGGGATTCAGGCGTTGCTGATTGCGAAAGTGAGGGAGCATCTGGGTGGACTTGTTGCACATGATTCTGTGAGAAACAAACTTTGTTAATCCCACTGCTTACAGCACTTCTCTGCCTATCTAGTTCTTTAACAGTTTAACTGCAATGATTAAAAAGAAGGCATATGTTTCTTTTGCTTGAGAAGTACAGAAAGTGTCCTGAATCTCAGGCACTGCAGAAGCAAAATGCAATGCAACCAGAAGCAATAGAAATAGTCAAGGCAAGGAGAATTTATTGCAGGCTTCACCTTTAAACTGAACCAAAATTAAGTTTGGCACAGAGAGCTGCTTGATCATGCTAAAAGACATAAGGAACGAAAATCATAGAATCACAGAATCACCGAACGATTGAGGTTGGAAGGGACCTCTGGAGATCATCTAGTCCAACCTCCCTGCTCAAGCAGGGTCACCTAGAGCATATTGCCCAGGATCACATCCAGATGGGTTTTGAATATCTCCAGGGAAGGAGACTCCACCACCTCTCTGGGCAACCTGTTCCAATGCTCTGTCACCCTCACAGTGAAGAAGTTTTTCCTCAGGTTCAGATGGAACTTCCTGTGGTTCAGTTTGTGCCCGTTGCCTCTTGTCCTGTTGCTGGGCACCACGGAGAAGAGGCTGGCCTCATCCTCTTGACACTCCCCCTTCAGATACGTGTACACGTTGATGAGATCGCCTCTCAATCTTCTCTTCTCCAGGCTACACAGGCCCAGCTCTTGCAGTTTTTCCTCATAGGAGAAGTGCTTCAGCCCTCTAATCATCTTTGAAGCCCTCTGCTGGACTCTTTCCAGGAGTGCCATGTCTCTCTTGTACTGGGGAGCCTGGAACTGGACACAGTACTCCAGGGGAGGCCTCATCTGAGGCTGAGTAGAGGGGCAGGATCCCCTCCCTCGACCTGCTGGCAACACTTTGCCTAATGCACCCTAGGATGCCAT